TATATATATATATATATATATATATATAGTGCGGGGCAGCGACTCACCGGAACATATAATGCTGCTCTCTGTGCTGTACACCGTCGGTGCAATGCAAACATTGTGACTGCCTCTGCCCCTGTGCGTTTTGCTCTTCATCGTTGGTGTCTTTGCCTTCTTCCCTCACTCTGCGACTGTAGCAGTTTTGTAAGGGGCGCTTCTCTCCCAACTGTGGTTCGGTTGTGCCTCGCTGTGTGCGAGAGCGTGTGGCTGGTGTCTCTTTGCAATGAGGTGAGGAGGGCTTTGGTGGTGTCCGGGTGTGTGTGTGTGTGTGCCTGCGTGTGTGGGGGGGGGGCGTGCGGTGAAGGTGCCGCACGACTCTCGCACGAACGGCCGTCTCTGTCCAGCTGCAATGAAAGCCATGCTGCTCAACCCGACCGTCGCATTGCGTCACACACAAATGCGTGGGAGCTTGTGTCATTGCTGCCCCCTCCAGGAAGAACAACAACAACAACATCGAAGTCGGCTTTATCATTCCCTTATTGAAAAGGTAGCGGCGTGGTGGGCGGCCACACTGCCGAGTGAGCTTCAGTTGCCTAAGGTTGTCTTCTTGGTGTGGCTCGTGGCAGGCGGAGAGGGGGGGGGGCGTGAAGTTTTTGATCTCAGCGACATTGTGGTGCGAGTGAAGCGCATTGTTCCTGGCAGAGCGAAGCTGCCAGTGTGCATGCGAAGCCGTCTGAAGATGACGTTGAGGTCAGCTGTGTGTGCTCTCTCTCCCTCTGTGTGTGTGTGTGGACATTGAAGAAGGAGAGCTATGACGAAGGGCGATTCGTGCTTCAGTTGTCATGCGGCTGTTCTTTTTATTTGCTAGTGCTGTAATGTGGAGTACCCGTTGGTGTGGCAACGCCTTTTTTTTTCGTTCTCTTCGTTTCGGGGCGTGTGAAGGGGGCTTTCCTTGTGCTTCTCTGTATGTGTGGGGTTCCTTGGCTCTCTGTCGTGCCACTATACATGGGTGTGCTGTGCTTCTCGCTCTTCCCTACCTCCGTGAAGGATTTCCATCTGGGCGGCGTCTGCGTCTGCGTGTCTGTGTGTGTGTGTGTGTGTGTGCGCGCCTGCATACAGCTCTTGTAAAGCGAAGAGGAACACATATTCCCACTCTCTGTGCGCTATAAGCAATAGAATTTAGTCGTTTCCTCAATACGCACGTAGTGGTCTGATGTACTACCCATACGACGCTGCTCAGGAGCAGCAGCAGCAGCAACAGCAGCAGCAACCGCCGCTGCAACAACAACAGCAGCAGCAGGATCAGTATCCGCAGCAGCAGCAACAGCATGCAGTCCCGCCTCTGACGTCGTGGCCGTACGCAGGCCCGCAGTACGGCGTTACTGCAGCTCCCACGCAGCCTTACACCGGGTCTGTGGGCGACGGAGCTCAATCGTCTTCCCAGTACTACGACCCTTATGCACCTTCAACGGCGAACGGCACAGAAGCCTATAACACCTATTATCAGGCTCCAGCCTATCCACAGCAGCCGCAGCAACAACAACAGGAATACCAACGCCCACTGCAGCAGCAACAGTATCAACAACCGCCCATACAACCGCAACCACAAACGCAACCGCAACCACAGCCACAACCGCAACAGGGACAGCGGCAGCAGTCGTCGTCACTGCAACAAGCAGGGGTTTCCCCGCCGCCCCAGTCGCTCGCAGGGCCCGTGCCTTCGGTGAATTCGCACGCCCCAGTGAGCAGCGCACGTCCCCCCACACAGCAGACTGTTCAGCAACAATACCAGCCTCCGCGTTTAACCACGACTGGCTCTAGCAACAATTCGAGTGTGCAAGACCGGTGCGCCTCGCCGATTGGAAAATGTGCCCGAGCCCCGCCGAGGCGGAGCGTGGATCTGAAAAGCGCGCCGAACCCCCGCCGGGACATCCCTCAGAAGGCGACAACAGAAGAGTTTCGCACATCATCGGGACAAATGCCGCTTAGCGCCTGCGGCTTCATTGCCATTGATGACGGTAACGCGAACCCCAAGTTCTTTCGCCCCACGACGAGCTCTGTGCCTGCGGAGGAGCGGCTGGTGCGCGACAGCAAGGTGCCATTCGGCGCGGTGCTGGCACCGCTGTGCCACACGCTGCACCCACGCGAGGCGGTGCCGGTGGTGGAGGGCCGCCCGCCGGTGCGGTGCCACCGCTGCCG